GTACGAAGAGATGGACCTGCCGCTGATGGTGTTTACACAAACAATTTCTTTTCATGCTACTTTTGTAAAGAAAATTTAGGTGTGTCTTCAAGCCAAATTAAGATTACACGTGCGGTGCACGTACGCATTTACTAGTAACAAAAGATGCAGAAGCAGAACACGCTGATCGGAAATCATGCGTGCACCTCGCCGGCCAGTGTAACCTCTAGATCCGCGCACCTGGACTGCTGCGGTCATGGTACACCATGGATTTGGGCGCTCCGGTCATCGGCGTTGAGTGATGAACTGGATCAAGCGCTCCTGCAAGCAGATCCGATGGAGGCGTCAGATCTGGTAATGACAGGCTTGCGGGTGGCCGGAAATGAAGCTGGTGTGTCTTGATTCGGCGAGGTCAACGGCACATTGAGGCGAGGCCGCGTGCGGTCTTACGGTGGTGCACTCCGGCAGCGCATGGTGGTCCAGGAACGCGAGAAAGAGGATTAGGTTTGGGGTCTTGGTCTGCAATATTTTCGGAATGAGGAGATCCATGTAAAATGTCTTGCGTATCTCCATCTCTCCCTATTTGCATCGTGGGATCTTAATCCAGTCTGCCCAGATAGCTGGATCGCACGATCTCATGTAATATGTTGATCTCATACTAGTCGCCTCCATGTTAGGTGCCTACAATAACAAAGCTTGCTAGCGCCCGCACAATGACAACATACATGATATGGCAAAGACTTTATGTAGCATGCATACCAATTCTTCTATCAACTATAGCCATATAGATTCATTCTAATTTATCTAGCAACTTTCTAATTCTTTCTAATCGTACGACTTTCTAATTCATTGGCAAAGAATTGTACCCGCAAAAAAAAAGTTGATAGAAGAATTGGTATGCATGCTACATAAAGTCTTTCTAATTTATAGAGTAAACTAAAATTGACAAAATGTCTGAAGCAACTTGTTTTGGACTACAAAATAATGCGCGATAACTCGCCATCTACTATCTCGAAAGACTTGACTAGAAGTTATATTGGCTAATCATCATACCTTAGTCATACGTGCTTGCTGCTTGTAGGGCGACATGAGCATGCTAACATCTTAGCAAGTTGGATGAATTAGCTACCTACGGTCATACTCTGGATCTTCCTAAATTATCCCGACAGACAAATGTTTAAATAAATATATTTTTGCCAATGAATCAACCTGATATCAACCTTCTCTTGTCCAATTATGCAAACATAGCACATAATTACTGAAGAACCAGAGGAGGTCGATTATTGTGCCATGTAAGAAAAAACTAGAACCCGAGACACCAGCCACACCAGTTGTGGCCCCACTACAGATATGAAAATATATTGCACGTCATCGTGTACTATGACATCTAGCAAGGACATATACCAGACGACACCCAACTTAATTAATCTAGCGAGTCCACAATTTAGATACAGTAATGTACGCGTCAGGC